AAGCAATAGGACAAGAGGTAATGCCCTCAAGTTGCACCAGGGAAGGTTTAGACTAGATACTAGGAAGTATTTCTGTGCAGAAGGGGCTGTATGGCATTGGAATGGGCTGCCCAGGGAGGTGGTGGAGTCCCCATCCCTGGAGGGGTTGAAGAGTTGTGTCAACATAGTACTGAGGGATACGGTGTAGTTGGGAACTGTTAATGTTGGGTTCATGGTTGGCCTGGATGATCTTCAAGGTCTTTTCCAACCTAGACAGTTCTGTGATTCTGTGATATTAATCAAGTTCTCATGCATAAATATGTTCATTCAGGTAACTAATTTTCTTATTCTTACCCCTTTCCAGTCATGTGCACTTGAGTCCTGAAATGAGTCGGAGGCTGCTTTTGCAACCACCATGGAGTACTGGCCTAAAAGAAAGACCCTCCAATGTCCTTGACTCAAGGACTTTGCAATTTTAACACACCTCAAGGCCCTTTCACAATACAACCTTTAAAACACCTGGTCTACAGGGCAATAAATCATCCTCACCAGACAGTCTAACAATGGTATCTCATCTAGCAGCATAACTGGTTGCACAGTTACTTTAAACTAAATACAACAACTCTATGACTACTAAAAACATTACACCACTATCTTTATAAAACCCGATATTTCTGTGTTTCATTTAATTGATTAGTCCTAATCATTTCTTATCAAAATCACCAAAAATCAATTCAATAACAATTCAGTAACAGTCAGTAACAGGGGTGTCCCTCTGGATGCACTTTAGAACCTCTAGTTCATTCTCCCCTGGTCCTGTTCCTCTCTGGCCACTCAGCCCGAGAGTTTGCGGAAGGGCCGCATGCTGTCACCTTGACATCAAGTGAGTTGCTGTGAATGTGCAAACTGTTGTGTAAAATCACCCCTGGGTGATGTATCGTGCATCTCGCCTGGGACACTGAGCTCCTGATAAGTCTTTCTCTTAGCCTGGGCTTCCTTGTGCAGACATTTGGAAAGACTTCATTTGCACAGTGGATGAGCCTTTGCTGGGATGACTGTCCCCTGAGAACAGGCTCTCAGTGAGAGAGAGAACTCTCAGCACAGTTCTGACACGGGTCTGCAGCATCGAAAACTGTCCCATAAGGTACCTGACAGCCCTCAGGCACGGTAGAAAATCCAAATAAGGAAAGGTAGTGTGCACTGTCAGATGTGGACAGAACTTTTTAGATTTCTCTGGATGTTAACCAGTGGTAAGATAGCTACAGAGATCTCTTACTTTTCTTCTTCACAGACAAGGTTAAGTGCCTCACTATCACTGACACTGGTGGCTCGTTGTGCACTGCTGGTTCATTACAGCACAGGATCAGCCTCAATCTCTTGGCTAAGTAACTTTTAAAAGCCAGTATTAGTATTGTAGTAGTGCCATACTGCTTGCAGCTTCTTAACAAATTTTGGTTCAGAAGCAACTCAGTCTTTACACTAAGTAGTTTAGCAGTGTAAATGCTGTAGTTTATCAGTTTAGGAAGAACATGAAAGTAGCAAAAAATATTTTCTTACACAGTCATCCGCTCCTTTACAGGCAGTTGAAGATGCGTATGTACCAGTTGTCAATTTTGATGGTGTTGAGGTAAGAGTTTTGCATTTTTTTCTTTAAGTGAGAAATATTTTTTCTTCCTTTTTTTTACAAGGTTATTGGTACCTTGGAGTGTATTTGGGAAACTGTAATTAAACGGCCTGAACACAGCCTGTCCCAGAAGAAGATGCTACAGGAAAATGGGAGCTGATCAGACTGTGCTATGAACCAGATGCTTCAGGATCCAAAGGGCTTACTGCATAGAGAAAATGCTCTCTCCTTTGCTGAAGTACAGCTGAGGAGATTGAAATTATGTCTTAATTCTATGATTAATTTTAAGTTCCCTTTTAATGAAGGTTTAGAGTTATCAGTTCAATTTAAAAACCCTTCCTTTCCCTAGCTTAAAAAGAAAAGGGGAATACAATTAAGGTTTTGTAAATAAAATATGGAACTTCTAACAATTTTCTTGAGTTTTTTTGGCAAATAAATCTCTTGGGAGATGTATCTATAGTCGCATAGTTCTAAATGCAGATGTTAACCACTCTTTTTTAGACTTGACTAATGTCCTGGTTCAGCTAGGATAGGGTTAAGTTTCCCCAGCAGAGAGGGAGAAGGGATCTCCAGCCGGGTTATTTATACCATGCTGACGTCAGGTCCAGCAGCAGCGCGGGAAGCTTTACTGTGTGGCTTTGGTCACAGGGAGCACACGACCGGCTGTCTGTATCCATTGCGGTATTTCTCTGTATATCTTTTGTCTTGTTCACTGTTATTACTGTTTATTGTTGTCATCACTGCTACTGTTGTTGTTCAGATTTATTACACTGCTGTATTAAATTTCTTCTTAATTTAACCTGGGGTTTGTGCCCTACTTGTGTCTGAGGGTGGGGGAGGGACAACGGCAACATGGTCTCCAGTCCCGGCAGGGCCTAAACCAACACAACTAACTGTCCCTCACTAATGTACTCTTTGCAAACAGTGTAGCATTCTAAATCACAATTGGCACTTTTTTTCCTCTTAAGATTGATCTGGTGTTTGCAAGACCGTCTGTGCAAACTGTTTCTGATAATCTTGATCTCAGAGATGACTGGCATCTGAGAAGCCTGGATATGAGATGTATACTGAGCTTAAACAGTAAGCATATTCACACATCTTTAAAAAGAAAGTGCTACTGATATTGGTATAGAATGCACATTACACAACTCCAGTTTCTGTACAAGGTGCACAAGCTGATCTCCTGTGTACTTGAGATCTGAGGAGATGCCGAGTGGATTTACATTTAGACGTTTAAGGAGTTGTGTGCTTAGGTAGACCTGTATTTCATGTTTCTTGGATCAGGGTGTGTGCATTGTTCCAGTTTGTCACAGAGACTGCTTCAGATGAATCGGTAGAGCACTTGATAGAGAAGAATGTGTGATAGCTCATACAAAAAAAAAAAAAAAGAAAAAAAGATATTTAAAATACACGAAGCCTAACTTGCTTGCTGTTTAACAGTGACCGGTTTAATTGTTCATGGCTGTCAGAAGAAACCTGGCTTTCGGAATCCACTAGAAAGGCCTTATTAAAAATGGTTGGTGATAGTCTATAAACTATGACAAAGCTGTTGAGGGCACCAGTTACCTGAAGGGATACTGAATGTTATGAGTAATCTATAACAGGAAACAGGTCCTCGCTCAGGGAGGCAGGAAAATCCTCTCCCAACCTCCTTCACCCTCTATGGTGTCCCTTCTCAATAGATTCGGGGCCCTGGAACCTTTGAATGGAGAAGAAGGAAGAGAATGAGACAAACAAGGAGGAAGACCAAGGTCCACCAAGGCCGGGTCATTCTAGACCAGGTATTAAAACCAGTTCTAAAAAGAATCCCAGAAGAGTCATTGTACTGGGTGACTCCATTCTGAGGGGGGTCGAAGGTCCCATATGCAGACCAGACCCGCTTCATAGGGAAGTCGCTGCCTCCCTGGGGCCCGTGTCAAGGACCTCATGGCAAAACTCCCCGCTCTAGTGAGAGACAAGGACTACTACCCTCTCCTGGTTTTTCAGGTAGGTAGTGACGTCATTACCAGGAGAAGGCCTAAAGCAATGAAGAGAGATTTCAGTGCCTTGGGGAAACTGATTAAGGGGTCAGGGGCACAAATTGTGTTTTTCTCCATCCCTTCAGTTGGGGGGATGGATGAAGAAGAATACAAAACTCAACAGATGAACTTGTGGCTCCAAGGTTGGTGTGACCAGCAGGGCTTTGGATTTCTCAATCATGGGTTAGTATACAGGACACCAGACCTTTTGGCAGGATTTTAGATAGGTTCATGCATAATGACTGCCAGATGATGAACAGGCACTCCTCGGAGAGCTACCTTGGAAAAGTCTGGGGCTCCTACCTGGGACTTCAAGTTGCTCCAAAGAAGGCAGACAGGCTGCAGTAGCTGCCTGGCAAGAGTCCTGAGCAGCTCTTGGGCACGGACATGCCTCAAACATCAACAAAACATTTTGGGTAGCTGCCGTAGAGGACACTGGGCCTGTGGTGTGACACTTGTGCCCTGGGACAGGAGGTTTGTGACCCAGGCCAAGCAGAGAAATGGACTGTGTCACCAAAGGCGCTGGGGGAATCTAAGAGGTTTGGTGGGACTGTTGGGGTGACACTGGTGTGCTTGCCTGTGACCTCGGCTCACAGGTATTGTGTCTTCCTTAACCACAGCACTTTGCTGTTGAGGATTGTCCATCCACAGCCTGTTTGGAGCAGGAAATCCAGACTGTTACTCATTTTTCTCCACCCAAGAGTCTCTCCAAGTCTGGCCTAAGCCCTGAGTCCAGTGCGGGGTAACAGATGGAAGGACTGGACATCAACATGTGCAGAGAGGTGGCAGCAGTAGAAGCCAAGGTACCTAAGGCTGCATTTTGGAAGGCCTTGGCTCAGCTGGCAGGAGTCAAGCATGAAGTGTCTCGCTTAGCTCCAGGGTGACTCCTGCCAGCAGCTGCCTGCCTTGTTGAGGACTCTTAGCTTGGATGTAGTTCCTTTTGTTTGCTAGGAGTGTGGGAAAAGCCATTAGATTAGGAGTGGCTCCTTGTCCCCCACCATGGTGGTGCCCCCCCACGCATCACAAAGGGCCACCTGTGATGTCACAAGCCACTAGTGCCTCCTAGTGTGGCGCTGTGCTGGCACGGGCAGTGCTGGGGAGAGACAGGCTCTGACAGGAGCAGCACTGCCTTGGAAGAGAGACATTGCTTGCCAGCCTCAGAAGGCTTTGCAGGGCCTTGCTCTTCCCCTTGCTGAGCACTTCCGCAGCACAAGTGTCTGCCTGGCGCAGCATGATGGGCCAGCTGGCCTCCTGCTTCTCCCGGTGCGTGCCTGTTCTGTCTCTGTGGCACCAGGCATGGCTGGTTCCTGGCAGAGACCTGTATCTTATGTCCACAACTGTGTCCTGTGCAGGGGCAGCTCTGGTGGAAGACAGCTGGGTGTTGTGTCCCAACAGCATCCTGAGCTGCTCCACTGCGAGTGCGTGGCGGTGACCTGGTATGGGAGAACGAGGATGAGACACCTCCTGCTTTTCCAAGATGCCCTTGCTATTGACAAGCGCAGGTAAGAAGAGAAGATGGCAGTAGTCTTTCTTCCCAACTCCTGCCTCCAATACCAGCCCTCGGGAGACATCTTGCAAAGCCCTCTCAGTCTTGCCTTTGATCCAGTGTCGAAGTCCCGGGGAGGTTCCTCGGGAGGGTCAGGCGGTCAGAAACCAGGGCTGTAAGAGTCAGGATGTCTCCCCAGCAGGGATGTTCCTATTTGTGTGATCAGCAACTCTGGGCCACCCTTCCCAGAGCTCTGTCTGGGTACAGAGGCTCTCCCAAGGAGGATTGCCATAGTTGCCCACCAGAAGGCAACCTCATCATCAGGCCCTGCTCTTCCTGACTGCAGACTTGGCACCAGATTCTGGCTACAGCACAGGGTGTGTCTCAGCGAGCTGTGGGTGCTGTACAGTGAGAAGCCAGCGTGTGGGTGTGAAGAGGAAGAGACAGCATTGGGCCTGGAATGCTGCAACACCCTCATCCTCATCTGGCCCAGCTGCTTCTGCGTGGTCACTTTCATGTGAGTGGTGGTGATGTGTCACCCAGGCGTTGGGCTGTCTGGGCCAGCACTCTCCCTCAGAGCCCAGCTGGCTCCCCAGGCTTGCGTCACAGGGTGGGGGGGAAGCAGAGGTACTGCTTTGCTTGTGCAGCGTTCTGCGGCTCGGCTTGTTTTCTGAGCTGGCCCTCTGCCCTCTGGACACAGCCCTTGCACAAGCTGTGCACTGTCAAAGGGTGAGGCAAGGCGTGGGCTGAGTGGGGGCTGTGTGTAGACAGTTTATCGCATTTGGTCCCGGTAAGCCCCAGGTGCAGTTCTGACAGAGCTGGGCTGTCGCTCCCCGCTCTGGAGAAGCCCCGTGTCTGCAGCCATGCTCCTCAGCCCAGGGCATCCCAAAAGCTGCCGAGTTGCAGGATCAAAAGGGGCTTCTGAAGTCAGCAGCTTGGTGAGGAGCAGAGCGTCCTTGGCTTTGACCTTCTCTGTTCTCCATCTGTCCAGGAGAGCAGAAAGACTGGCTTTTTCCTCCTCCCCCTGCTCAGCCACTGTCAGTCCCTAAGCTCCTGGGCGCAGTGGGAGCCTCTTTTGGGCTAAAGTCCCAAGAACAAGGTGAGAGCTGCTTCTAGGCCAAGTCCTGCTGGTGTCTGAGCGGCCTGAGGTCCCGCCCCGCCGCCGGGGGGGCTGAGGCCCTGCCGGGACCGGACACCACGCTGCCGTCGCCCCTCCCCCGCTGGTCGGGCCGGAAGTGAAGCCCAAACCCCGGGGTAAAATAAGGAGAAATTTAATACAACAGTGTGATAAACAGTCTGAATAGTGGCAATGATAACAACAATAAACAGCAATAACAGTGAACAGAAGATATACAGAGAAATACCGCAATGGTTACAGAACAAACCTGGCATGTGCTCCGGCCACCAAAAGCCACCAAGGACCCAAATTCCCTCGCGAGGACCTGACTCATCATGGCACGAATAACCCGGCTGGAGGGCCCTTCCCCCTCTCTCTCTGCTGGGGAAACTTAACCCTGTCCTGGCTGAACCAGGACAGCCTCCCGCTCCCCTCTTGGCTGCTCTGGGGAGGAACAGCCCTGCCGTCCTTGTACTCCAGGTGCTGGGACTGGAGCACAGCTGCAGAGAGGGGCCCTCGGGAGGGAGGGGAAGCAGAGGCATTAGCCTGATGCTTTCTGCTTGTGCTAGAAAACCACTTTGCACCTTAAGAAGCTGTCACGTCCCACTCAGATGAGGGGGACAAGTAACTCAGCTTCGCAAATCCCTAACAGAGTGGACAAGAAGTCTCCAAGTCCAAGCACTTATTAACTACACACAATGTACCAATTGAACACATTATAATTGGCTAAATATGCAGCAAGTTGTGGCGAGCAATACAATATGCCTTGCATTGCTTAATGGAAAAAGGAAAAGAGGGAGATAGAGGGAATGGGGAAATACAGATCACTGGTCTGGGTTCCTGCGCTGATCCCACCAGTGAGGGTTCCAGGAGGCGGCCGTCCTTTTCCCTGGCATCTGTCTTCTTCACTTCACTGCTCTCTCCAGGCAGCCGGGGGGCAGAGACCTCCCTTTCTCCCCCCCCCCTTGATTTATACCCACTTTCCTTGGGTCCGTCCCCTAGGTCAACCCACATACCTATGTATCCCATGTACGGGGAAGGGTCAGGTGTTTCATGGGATGATGTAATTAGCATGATCATGTTAGCCATCATTAGCATATTTAGAGGTGTTGACTTTAATATGCATTTTGTGGATAATGAAGCAAAGTTCATTCACTGGACACACGGCCCTTGAAATCTGCCCAGGTGCCCCAGGGAAGAGCCGTCCTGTCTGCACAGGGCTCTCTCCCCCAGATACATTGGGCAGCGTTATCAGCTTCGGCCTCCACAGAAAGCACCCTGTGACTCAGAGTTTTGTCTTGTGAGTGTTTGAGGCATTTCTTCGATCAGCCTCAAATTTTGCTTTCCCAGGCTGTGTTTCTTAGTTTCTCACAGGCCTGATTTCTCATCTCTCACAGAAGCAAGCCTGACCCCAGAGGTCTGGGTTTTCCCACTGCAGGGGGGGAAAACAGTCGGACCCCTGTTGGCGGCAGCAGGGTTTGATACTGGTTCTCCTGTCTCTGCAGATCCCAAGAGAGGAAAGAGTTCTGGCTGGACGCCATCCTCAGGTGAGCCCCACTGCAGTAGCAAACCTCTGGCGCCAGCGTGGCCGTCGGTGGGATGCTCCATCTGAGCTGAAAGGCAGCTCGAGAGCTGTGGGAGAGCTACCCCCACTGCTGGGGCAGCTGTGGGGCAGCGCTGGATGAGCTGCTCAGCCTTGTGTTGGTAAAGTAACACCTAGCTGATCCTGCTGCCACCACTTGCTCCTTCTGTGCCTGTTTTTTTTCTGATGTAAATGGTGCTGGAGGGGCTGGCAGGGGAGAGAGCAAAGCCCGGTTCAGTGATACAGAGCTCTTCCCTTGTCCATTCCCTGTGCACAGGCAAAGGAGCAGAGCCCAGGAAATGCAGGTGACCCCACTGCCCTCGACTGGTCTACTTGTGAAAGTCTTGGGCCTCAGTGGATCTGTAAGTGTCTTTGTTGTTCCAGCTGGGTCAAGGGAGTGACTCTGCTTTCTAGCACGGACCATCAGAAGAGTTTCTCCCACTTGGCCTTTGTTCTCTTTCCTAGCCAGTGATGTTAACTGCCCCGACCGTCAAGGCTTTGGTTCAGTGCCAGGCAAAAGTAAGCAGTGGCTACATTTCTCCTCCTTGGCATTGTGTATGAGTGGGAGGGACCCTAGGAGAGGAAGGTCGGCCTTTCTGGGATGGGAAGCCATTGGGACACAGGCCTCTTCCTCCCTGGAGGAGTTGGGGTGGAAATCTCCAGTGCTGGGGTGAGAGCACAGAGGGGCAGCCTGTGTTCCCTGTGCTCACTCCAGTGCCCTGTGCCCGGCTGTGGGTGTTCTGGCCCATGTGGCAGCCAAGAAGGGTGCTGGGGCAGGGCCCTGTGGGGCAGGTCCCGAGGAGCTGGGTGCAGCACAGGCCTGGGGAGAAAACACCCCCATGGGGCACAGAGCCCACAACTCCCTCCTGGGGGTCAGGGCCCTGAACTGCAAATCTGTGGGGTGAGGGGTGGTCATCTTATTTACCTGTGGGCAGAAGGAGTACCACTTACATATGGAAAGTAATCTGGGGTGGATTTCTTTTTTTTCTCCTGCCTGCCCAGAGTATCCCACATCACTGTCCTCAGACTCCAAGGCACGAAGAAGACCTCAGGAGAGCCCTGGATGAGGAGCAAGCGCAGGAGCTGATGGAGCCAAAAGCACCTGAGCCTGAGGAGGGCAGAGCACATGCTGCTGTGCAGACAGGTAGAATGCTGTAAAGGTCTTAATTTCATGGCCAACTCAAAGCCTGGTGATCCAGATACACCTGGAACAGGCAGCTCAAGGTGCAGCTTGGGTGGTGATTCTCTAGCCATTGCCCTTATAACATCTTGGAATTTACTGCTTTGAATGTTAACAGGGTGAATTAGGGTGACCTTTTCCAGAGGTTAATTGACCTTTCTTCAGGTTTCAGTGCACATCCTGGCACACAAGCCCGGGCTTCTTTCTTTGTTTTTTCCAGATGCTCATCAGATGTGGCCTTTGGTTTATGACCGGTGCCACTGGTGGGCCCTGCTGAGCCTGCTGCCCTGCGGCACTGAGGCTCCTCTTCGTTGGCACAGCATTTCACCCAGAACCAGATGGTCTGTGGTGGAAGTTTTTTGTTCTCTTACCGCTTGACTAATGCAAACTGTGTTGCATTCTCTATAGCCCTTCTTTTCGGAGTGAGGTCTCTTAGCTCTCCTGTAGGAGACAGGTACAATTCAGACCAAGTGCCCACGTTTCAGGTGTGGTGTCACCTTCAGGGCTCTTCTGGCAGGAGTAGGAATAGAACTGCATGTTCTTCATGGTGAGACCTGGTGCTCTGGGCTGTGGCATCTGACATCTGCTGAGTGCTGCCTGCTGCCGAGGAGGGCAGCAGGGATGGCAGAGCACATGGCGTCAGAGGGTCAGCAATCACAACCATGTCCCTCTTCATTTGGGGTGTAGGTTTTTGCCATCTTACTTCACAGGAGTCATTCTGCGGCACAGTCTTGGGGTGTAGTTTGTCCTACTGAATCAACAGGCAGAGTCATGACTTCTAAAGCTCAACAGACCCCAACACGTCTCATTCCTTATACTTTTTCTTTCCAGACTTGTGTTCTGATGAGCCTGGGGACCACGGAACAAAGGTGGACATGGTGTGCCAGGCAGACGTCCACCTTGAGCAACAACCCTCTTTGCTCTGCAGCCTGGCAGAAGAAGGAGGAGCCGTGGCCAGGCAAGCTGAAGGAGGAGAGGTATGAAACAAAGCCAAGCTCATGAACCCTGTAGCAAAACAATCCATATCTGCAGTTTCTGGGGCAAAACTAAGGCAGCAGACTGCTTTCTTTGAAGCAGCTGTGCTGTGGGACTTTGCCTTGTTAGATGGCTCATCAAGAGGACAAGCCTGAGAGCCCGTGTTCATGATGGTAACACCCTAAACAAATACTTGCAAGGCTCTGAAATTCAAAAATTCATCCTTATAAACTAAGTAGCAGTGCAATGCAGCCATAATTTCCAAGTAGTCAATGGATGATAGGAGTAATTCCCTGTCAGCAGTAAGCTGGAAAGGTATACCTGTATTATTCATTGTAACTCAACTTTATACATTTGGTTTTTCACTCTTGCCTTATAAGGATATAACAGGAGATCCTGATTGTTATAACAAACAGGGTAGAAAATAGGAATGCTCAAAAGTGCAGAAAATCCTGGCACCTTCCGCTTGCCGCACGCCTAACGGTCATCTTTATTTGCAGTCCCAATAAAGCCACGTGTCTGGAGATCAGGGCATGCTGAGGAAGCAGGAAAGGCTTAGTCTGGCCAGTCACAAGACACTTGCCTTTCAGATTTACCAAAAAGTCAGTCCCTCGAGGAGGAAGTTCCCCTCCAGCCTATGGGGGTTTTGCTGCTGCCCAGGCTGAATGCACACCTGCTCTCCAGCACTTCCTCCTGTGAATGCTTTTTGCAGAAGTAGAGGCTGGAGGGACCAGATGCTGCATAGACTCATGTCCTCAGTCGTTGCGGTGTTTGAGTCGTTCTTCCAGGTCAGAGAAGTAGCAGCTGAAGTCTGAATGTTTGACAGGTGGCACTGTCTTGGCAGGAACCATGCGAAGGCCGGCACACACCACCACTGCAGGCCCAGGAGGAGCCCTCCACGGCAGTGTCACCGTGGACATTTGATGAGCAGGTCTTGGCCGAGCTGTTTGACTCGGCCTTGCACGTCACTAGTGAGAGAGTCTCTTCTCATTGACCCCACTGAGAGAGGTTTGTGTTATTTCTTTCTTTTTCATATGTGAATATAGCAATGTAGCAGGCAGAATAGCCATAAAACAGACTTGACAGTCCCATTCTGTAGTATTATGTGCTAAAAGGAACCTTTTTTTATTCCTTTGCAATTGTAGCTAGGTGTGGGAGAAAGGCAAGTTGACACTGGCCTGTCAGCTCTGCGCAGCCTCGGAGAAGCAGCAAGGCTTTGATAAGAAACAGGCCTTGGGAGAAAGATCAGAAACTACTGAGTTGCGCCAAGGCAGCAGGGAAAAACAACAGACAGCTGCAACACTGAGCTGTGAGAAGTTACTGCCACGTGAACAGTGCGTGAACCAGAACTGACTGGTCTGCACAGCGCATGTTAGAGTGGTCTTATCCTGATAGGAGAAAAGGCTGATAACTGTCTAACTGCTGACTTGCTAATTGTGAAGTAAGAGCTTTAACCATATCATAAATATGTACTATTGTAATAATAAAGGGTCCTTCCTTTTGCCTTCATGGAGAGTCCGTGCCTCAATTGCCACAGCTAGGAGAAGGGAGAAATGCATGTCCAGTCCCTGTTCCAATAAATAAACCACAATGAAGAAAACAAAACAGAAACCAGCATCTGGACGAGCAAGTAGATCGACGTTGCCCAACTCTGCCCATGCTTCTCATTATCCAGTATTCCAGTATATGTTGGCGCCTCTTCAGCACATGCTACCTCTTCTTCTGTTGCCATTCTGAAATCTTTGCCTTCTGGCTGGTTTGTGATCACTTCCAATATTCCTGGGGGCTGGGTCCCTATTCGAGCCCGTTGTGTGGTCAGTGGGAACCATTTACTCCACGAGTCATTGCCTGCATGGTGTGTGGAGGGGACCCTCTCTTTGAACATCCAGCCCAGCACTGGCAGTCGGGGTGCCAGGAGGAGCTGTGCTTCAGTGCCAACCTCTTTCAAAGCAGCTCGGACCCCTTCATATACTGCCAATATGTCTTTTTCAGTTGGACTATAACAGGCCTCAGATCCTCTGTATCCCCAACTCTAAAACCCCAGAAGTCAGCCCCTGGTCTCCCCAGGTGCTTTTTGCCAGAGACTCCACAAAAGGCCATTCTTCCTGGCTGCCGTGTAGAGCACATTTCTAGCGTCCTGTCTGCACTGGCCTGGGGCCTACTGCATGAACAACTTCCCATTTAATTTGCTCAAAGTCTTGTTTCTCAGAGGCCCATTTAAAATAATTTTTCTTCTGGGTCACTTGATAGAGACAGATTACAACCAAACTATAATTTGGGATACACATTCTCCAAAAGCCCACAGTGCATAAGAAAGCTGATGTTTCCTTATGTTCTAATTCTAAGCTACTGGATCTATTATCCCAGCATGGGAGTAGCCAGGTGCTCACCTGGATGATGGTTGAAATCCTGTCTCATGTCTCACAGCTCACGCAGGGATAGGGATCGAGTGATTACCACTGGTTCTGCCTCCTCCTCCTGTTCCTGTCCTGGTTCATCACTGTCCCTTACAAAGAGAAGTGATTTTTTTAAAAATTTCTTCTTATGTATAGGAGCAGCTGACCCTAGCACGGGCTGTGTCTCTGGTCCAGCTGCGGTGCCTGTCGCCACGGTCAGAGCAGTTGCAGTACCTGTCACCAGGGTTGAAGTGGCTGCAGCGCCTGTCACTTTATTGTCAGATCCAGAGACCTTCTCTTCCCCTTGAGGGCACAGAATAGTGTTGCACAGGGCTCAGGAGGCATGGGCCAGGCCCCAGCACACTGCGGTCATTTTTGTCTCCCTGGAATTGTTGGGGTGACAGCACACTTCTTCCAAATGTTCTACTAGTTTCTCAGGATTTTGCACTTGTTCAAGGGTAAAATTCCAAAACATTCAGGTGCCCACCATCCTAGGTACTTGACCATTCTGTCCCACACCTCCAGCCGCTCATAACTCTCTAGCCTTGGTGTAGTGACACTCTTATTAAACAGTTGCTTAATACTGAAAAAAACCTGAACCCCATGGAGGGACACGCTGGCTCCCAGCAATAGGATGACCATGTTAGTGTCAACATTCCAAAGATATTCAAAATTGTCAAAATTCTCATAGGCTATTGTAAGTAGCCTGGAGGAGAGGGGAAGGTGGAGGGAGGTGTCTCCCCCATGGGTTGGCTCTCCGAGAAAAGGTGAAGGGTATCATTGTTAACCCTTTCCGCTAGATGGCCCCCGAGGTACAGAGTGACGGCAGTGCTGAGCACAAACACCACTCCCACGGCCGGTAACTTGATCGTGCCATAAACCAGAGCTGGTGCAGCAAAGCCAAAACCTTAACCCACCTCCCACGGGTGATAAGCAGCAGCACAGGGACTATATACGGCAGGTGAGGTGATACATAACACAGCTCTAAGAACAAGCGCCATGACTCTTAAGAGCCAATAAACTGACATATGAACAGCAACTATTAATTGCTTATAACAGACTATTTGCTTATAAGCAACTATTTGCTTATAACAAATTCATTGTAACACACTCTGATCAGACCTGTCATTATCTCAACCCTTCCAGCCCCACGCTGGGCACCAAAAAGGACTGTTGTGGTTTGAACCCAGCCAGCAGCCCAGCACCACGAAGCTGCTCACTCACCCTCCCACAACCAGGGGATGGGGGAAAGAGTTGGAGAGGTGAAGTTAAGGAGACTCACAGGCTGAGATAAAAATAATTTCATCACACAAAGAAAATAAAATCAAAATAATAATTATAATACTGATAGTAATAATAGAAAATGCAAACAAGTAATGCACAATGCAATTGCTCAGCACCCACTGACTAAAGCCCAGACAGTACCCAGAGAACAGAGAATCCTGAAACCACAATCCTGGAAGCAAGGGTGAACTTCCCCACCAACTCTCCTCTATACACTGAACACAACGGTACATGATACAGAATATTCCCTTGGCTGGTTTGGGTCCGGTGCTCTGGCTGTGCCCCCTCCCAGCTGCTTCTGTACCTGCACATGGGCAGGGCGTGGGAAGTTGAAAAGTTCTTGATCTCTCAGCAACAACTAAAAACATCAGTGTATTATCAACATTCTTCTCATATCAAATCCCACACTGAATCCAAAACACAGCATTGTTCTGGACAGTAAGAAGGAGAAAAAAAAAATTAGCTCTATCCCAGCTGAAACCAGGACAGTATCCCCTGATCTTCTTCCTCCACCTATCTCTCCTCCTTCTCCTCCTCTTTCTCCTGTTCTTCATCATCATCCTCCTGTTCTTCTTTTTCATATTCTTACTCCTCCTCCTCCTTTTCTTCCTGTTCCTTTTGTTTCTTACTCTTATTCTTCAGCCTTCCACCTATTCCTTATTTTTCCTTTTCTTCTTCCGCCTCTATTTTCTCCTTTTCCTATTCCTCCAATTTTTCCTTTTTTGTCCTCTTCTTCTTGGTCCTCCCCCTTTTCCTTTCTGATCCTCTTTCTCATTTTTCCCCTCCTCCTCCTCCTGTTATTCATCTGTGTCTTATTCTTCTTCCTTTTCCACCTCCTGTTCTTCCTTCTGCCTTTCCTTTATCCTTCTCTTTTTCTTCCTCCTTTTTTTTTTTCATCTCTGCCTCCTCCTGTTCTTCCTATTCCTCCTGTTCCTTCTCCAGTTTCTCCTCTTTTCTTCCCCTTTTTCTCCTCTTTTTCTTCTCCTCCTGTTACCTCCTCCTCCTTTTTCTCTTCTGGCTATTCTAGATCCTTCTGTTCTTTTCTTCCTCCTCCTTCTCAACCTCTCTCTCTCTTTCTCCTCCAGTTCTTTCAGTTCTTCTTTTTTTTCCTCCTCCTCATTCTCCTGCTCCTCTTCATTCTTTTCTGCCTGTAACTCTGTTTCTCATATTACCTTTCTGTTTCTTCACTTGTTCTTCTTAATTTTATTCCTCTTCCTGTTCCATCACACTTTCTGTTCCTACTGTTGCTCTTAGTCTTTTTCCTTACCAAGTTTCTTCACATTCCTCCTGATTCTTCTGCTCTTCTTTACCTGTTTCTGTGTGGGTTCCTCTACCTCCTCTTCATGTTGCCTCCTGTTTCCTCCTCCTCCTCCTCTGCTTGCCACCTCCTCCTCTTCTTGACTCCTCCTGCCTCCTGTTGCCTTCTCCTCCTGTTACCTCCTGTTGCCACCTCCTGTGGCTGCCTTCTCCTCCTCCTTTTGCCTCCTTATCCTCCTCCTCCAGTTGCCTCCTTCTCCTCTTGTTGCCTCCTATTGCCACCTCCTCCTCCTGTTGCCACCAGTTGCCTCCTCTTACTCCTCTTTCTGAGTCCTCCTCTTCCTTTCTGTTTCATTCTGTTGTCTCCTCCTCCTCCTCCTCCTCCTGCTATTTCTTCCTGTTATCACCTTTTCATCATCCTTTTTCTTCCTGCTGCCTCCTGTTGCTTCCTACTCCTCCTCCTCCTCTTCCTAAGGGCCACTAACAGCTTTCAGTCCTGGCCACCTCTGTGTCCAAGCCCTAGGTGGTGGGCGTCCATTTTGCGCCTGGGCCCTGGCTGGGGTGAGGGGTAAGAGAGGTGGAGGGTCAGAGGGCAGAGCCAGCACAGAGTCCCAGTGCTGGGGGGGCTGTGAAGGGGCTCCTAAGGGAAGGTGAGAGCCCCCAGCAGCTTCCAGTCCTGGCCACTTCCGCATGGGAGCCCATGGTGGGGGGCGTCGGGACCGAGGGGAGGGTGAGGGGAGGGTATGGGGTGCAGTGTGCAGCGCAGAGCCTGTTCCTCGCTCCTGGAGGGCAGCGGAGCATGTCCCAGGCATTGGAAAGCTCTGGCAGATGCACCGGGGCTCTCTAGGGAGCAGCAAGGCCCTGATCAGGCCCCAGCAAAGCCCAGTAACATGCCCAGGGCTCTCTGGACAGCAGCAGGGCCTTGCCCAAGTGACTGCACGTCTGGCAAAGGATCTGGGGAGCAGATAAGCAGGGCTCCTCAC